CGAATTTATTTATCGTTCCCGTCCGTTATCACGAGCACCGTATAAATTTGAAAGATAAACTTTTCGAAAAGCGTTTATCCCGTTTCGATCTACCGGGACTCGGAGGTAAAATATTCGTTGTTCGTTCGTTCGATTCTCCGCGCGCGGGGGACACGAGTAATTCGACGGAGTTTTGCGCAGAGTTTCGAAACCGGTTGGCCGGTTTCAGTGTCGTCCTAACGCAAATTAGGCAAGACACGGCTAAACCAGAGACTTAACTTGGACACGACGGCGCATTATGAATCTGACGTGAACTGTTTCAACTTTCGGGCTCGGTGTGTATCCCCTGCTGCAGCATCCGAACGATCCGGGGCTTCCGGGCGCCCGTTACACCGACCAAACGCGATTTCCGGCGCGCTCGTCTCGCCGTGAAATAAACGGGATTTCCTTGACGAACGAAATCGAATATCGCAGCGCCAGGCCTGCTTGTATTAAAATTTAATTATCTACCGTTGACGTAACAGAAACTTACACGCTGTCGCGACTAGACCAGGCGAAAATGTTTGTTTAATTATTTAATGCGGGGCGGCTTCGAAAAGAAACGAACGGTGTGCTCGAGACACATCGAATTTCAAACACTCCCGGTCGAACTACGGGTCTATCGCCTCCAAACTTTCTCGCAACAGCTTCAATTACCCAAAAGTTCGATCGAAAGAGTAAACACGGAGTTCCCGAGCCTTGTACAATTTTGAATATACGCTAGCGGACGAGACAACGATCGTACTCGCTCTGGTACGCGACTTCGACAATGTTTTTGGAAAAAAAAATTTATGGAACAGTTTTGTTTACGGTAGTTTTTTTTTAAAAGAGCAGCCTCGAGCGTTATTTTTAAAAAATGCTCGATATCGACTCGCGTACACAAAACGGAAAAAAGCGTGTAGGCGAGAAGTTTTCGAACGTTGAAGGCAGTTGGACGCATTTATCACCTTTGTCGCGCGCGTTTCACATCGAGGAGGAAGAGCGACGTAGGAAGAGGCGCCAGTAAACGCAAATTAGATCTTGAAAACGTCTGCTGCGCGTTGATCGGATCGACTTCGGGGCACAAAGACGATGTAAATTGAATTCTGGAATCGAACTCCTGCCAGTTTCGACCTAATTTCCACGGTGCTGTCTCGTCGGAGGACTGAAACGGAGAACATTTTTCACTACCAACCGAAAAACCGAGTCCCGCAAATCCAAAGATTAACCAAAATACTCCCATACTCTTCAACGTGTACTCCCATCGTTAGGTAATTTAAATAACAAGTAAATTAGCTGACCTGGTCGTTCATAATTCTATCCAAGCAATAGGGTTTATATTTCTTATGAAATAGTAGCCAAATTTCTGCCTGAATTTTCAATAAAAAGAATTAGTTTCGCAATATTCGTTCGAGCGTTAGAATGTCTGCTCGAACCAACTGTTTGTCGCAGTAACGACTGTCGATGAAATTATTCAACCGACTAATCAGGTTTGTCCTGCGAAGGAAAGTCTGTTCCAGAAATAGAAGCAGAATATAAACGTACCGACTCTTCGAAAAAGGACAGAATAGGCTTGGTCGTAAAATTTACGCGCGCCCACTGTAAAGATTAGTCCAGATACTATCAAGTCTAGAGTGGGTTGAACAGCCTAAGCGTAGAAATCAGCCTCGTCTCGACCTAAAAGTGGAACAAACGGAAATAAGTTCCACTTTGAGGCTACGTTGAGCCAGCAATCGTATGTAAAACACTTCGATCCGCCATCTTGCACCCTCGTTTCCGTCTATACGAAATCTAACCTACTCGAACGGCACGGCGTATTCTGATAACGTGGAGCAAGATTAATCCGACGATAGAAATGATAACTCACCTAATTGGGAACTGAAGCCTTCGACGAGCAACTCGATTCTCCAAAAGACAGCTCGATCACGCACACAAATCAAACACAAATACACAAAATAGGTTTAAAAAATTGACACGAAATCGTAAATTACTAACTCGCAAGAAGCTTGCAATAACCACCGCCGATGCACCTTCCTGCACTCGCCGGCAGAGGGCTATGGTCAACCTTTCTGTCTCACAGTCACCATACACTCCTCCAACGACTATTAAATAAATTTTCTTATTCTCAAACCAATATAATAAATGAACATTGTTCCTAAACACATCCACATAAGTGGAATTACCTGACCTCGCCCAATTCCTTCATCAATTACAAAGATTTGCTTAGAGATACGCAATAATCTACCGCGAGCAGACTTCAAACGGGAAGTTAGAGATGCAGTGACTGGAAGAGAGATTACGCCAGTTGAATGATGCAACCAACGAACCGGTACTCCGCGATAATGTTTGAATCTCTAGTATTAACAGAATAGAAACAGAAGAACGGAACGCGAAGAACGATAACGCCGAAAGAGTAGACACACGGCACGAATGGCGTTAGAGCGTTTAGAGGTTATGTTTGTAGGCGCGCGAATCTAAAACTAAAAACTCTGTCGGGCACTTTTGTCGCGGTGGGCGCACACCGAGCACCAAGGCATCTAATAATACGGTGCTCAGTGAAATTGCGACCCAGTTAGGCTTTGACCCACTTACTTGCACCGTAATCATCGTCGAGTGCTCTGCTCGGATTGATATTAAAGGTAAACACGCCACTGGAAGACTAGCTGGCTGCATCTACGGTCTCGTTTGCATGGGACATCGACTTGCTTGGTTTGCTTCGTACGCTTCAAAGGTGCACCGCACCGCTGTTTCACAGACACATTTTGATGCGATTATTTCGTTTCGTTAAATTCCGAACGATCCTTGCGTCACGATCAATTTGCCATTTTTACGCGACTCGAGGGCTTTGCGTCACCGTCGAACAATTTCATTTTGTAAACAACTACGCTGCCGCGACGCTGAGTAACTGGTAAACGGGCACGGTCCGCGAAAGAAATTATGAAATGTACATTGCATCGCGGTACATTTTTCTCGTCTGCTTGCGCCATTAATGTAAAATGGGTCATGAATATGCTTCAGCGAGTCCGCGAGGATACCGACCACGACGAAAAACTTCGTTTCCGCTTCCTTGAAACTTCCACGCGACGATACATCGCGGTCTTATCGTCCTTACAAGACCATTCAAGAACGCTAATATTCGTTTCGTTGCCTTGCTTTATTTTCAGCGATTTGGAAATTCGCGGGAACGGATTTATTCGACGTTACAACATTGCTCGTTATTTAGGGAGACAGTCGTCGTAAATCTTGACAGACCGAATATCATTAAACCGGGATTCAGCCATCTTTAGATGTAATGTTCGATGAACGTTGTAGAAATGTTTTTCAGGTTATGTACGTTATTCGAATACGTGAATCAAATTTACACTGATTCTTCGTCGCAATAAAATCTACATTTTTCGAAATTCGAAGAAATCCTTGGAGGCACGTTGAAATATCACTGAATATTACAACGTATTCAAATTTAAGCAAAATCCGAATTCGACGTCAGTGTCTGCGCGAAATGACCCGCGATAACTCCGCGACGCAATACAGACAACTTACGTCCAAATTGTACACCGGTTCGAAGTTATTGTTTATGTAAGCGACCAGGGGCTATTTTTAATGAAAACAACGAGCTAGGGTCTTTGTACGCGGGATGCCCAGCAGGCAGGCAGTCACGAAGGGGAATAAGGTTAGTTCGTCGTAGCGTATCTCGTGCATACGTGCGACTGCTACGTTACACGCAACCGATACATCTTACATCTATAAATAGAGTTAAACCCCGAAGAAGAACAGAGAGGTCGTTACTGGTAGAACGACCACCGAGGTTGCCGTGAGGTCACCTCAGGTCGGGGATAAATTAAATATACGATCGCCTCGATATCGCCGCTACCTCATCGTTCATTCTTCACTTCGATCAACTTCGACACGGAACGTCGGATCACAGACGATCGCCGGTCGTCAATGGGACATGGTCAACGAACGACGAAAAGATCGTGAACTAAGCTCGGGAACAATCTACAATACCGACGATACGATGACCAGGTAAACGCATCAATATCGGTTATTTTGTACAACTGGATTGTGACACGATGAGAAGAGATGAGAAGGGAAGTATACCAAATTTAATCTCTCCTACACCACCGTGTTAGGCTAGGCGTAAGTTTGGTCGAGAACGTCCAACAGTAAAAACAAGCGAGAAACTATTGGCACGAGTAACCATATAGCAAAATAAACAAAGGAATCTTATCGGTTAATAATTGCGATCATTGTTACGATTCAAATTGAAGCGTTTAAATACTACCGATCCAAGATAGGGAGCAAGATAAATTTACGCGAAAACGGAAACAAAAGCTTCGTCTGTTGACTTAAGATATCAAATTTCAAATTGTACCCGCAAGTAGTCGAATGTTTTCGGAGCATCTGTTGCGCACGTGAGTTACGATCTAGCCGTAAGGCACCGTGCACACCGTCTTTGTTACGCGAGAATATGCTTACGTTTCCGCGACCTATCACGATCCGAACAATACGTTAGCACACCGAACATTTTTGTTTGGAGGTTGTCGATAACGATACACACGCGTATTACAATTTTTCGTCGTGCTTTGGTATCTATTTGCAAAGCGACATTATCGACGACACGAACGATAAACGATCGCTCTGTTATTGTTTACACGGGAAACGACACCGCGACTCTAGGACAAAGTGGTATCGTACCAGAGTCTTGTTGCTACGCATCCGTCACGAATAACGGCAATCGCTTCGAAAGGAATACTATATAAAATGAAAGTAACAAAGATTTCATCTGGATGAAAAGCAACGTCAGTCGTAGATTGTGATTAACCGTTACGTTAGAATTTAAGCGTGAAAGTACCGCGAACATGTTCGAATCTTGTATGCGAATCTAGTAGCATCGTAGAGAAATTTCTTCGACGCTAACACCGTGGCTAAAAATTGAGCAAAGTAAAAATAAACATTTTATCTTAAAAAACAATCAACAAAGGAGTAATAACAAACAAACTCACCTTTTCGAGACACTCCTGGCCAATAGCTTTAGGGTCGACTTGCACCTCCAGGATGACTGAGTTCGCTTGGCTAATAAGACACCACATCTTGTGGCAGGTTGTATCCAAAGAGGTTCGGTAAACACACACCCTTTTTGCCCGTCAAGAATTTGCAACACGCCCCCGAACAGGCAAGAGAACCGAAAAACCAAAAATGCACCGTTCACACAGAACTATCGACACGCGTTATCTACAATGATCTTTTTTTCTCCGGACTCGCAGCTGGTCGGCGACCGGTCTTACCCGGTACGTTCTTAATCATAACAAATTTAAAACGCGTACTCGTGCACAGCTGTCACTGCGTCCTCACACACGACTTCGTACGTCGGCAACGTGCTCACTCGCCTACTACCCGAACGCGTCTCGTCGTCTGCCATTTCTCGGTGCAGAATGGCACACGTACTGACCGCTCCGCGCTACCAGGATTAGTTCGCGAAATCGAATCACCTTTCGGTCTCTATAGAGTGGCGCTAGTGTTGTGTGAACGCACATCACACATACGCACACCACGCGCACCCAACCAACCGCTGTCAGCGAACACGATCCGTCGGTTGAGGAAAGGTTAGGTTTACACAGCTGATTCCCCCTCCATGTTTAAAAGATTTCTGTTCCATCTGAGCTCTGACCAGCGATGCCAGATGTATCACATTTATTCGCGCTTGCGCCTAGAAAATGGCAGTGAAGTACCGGAAACAGGTATTTTATAACCCTTTTGTTTCACTGTTTTACAGAATTATTTAAACATTTTATGGCGAAAGAGAGCAAGCATAACTTCCATTAAGTTTGAAAATAATTCTAAGTCTGAATGATTGACTGAATACTTGCCTGTAACCTTCCCTCTCCAACCATCTTCAAGGCCATTGAAATCGATGAGATCGCTGATACTGTCATTTTTTCATAAATAGTTTTTCCTAAAATCAAAAAGAAAACAAAATCAATTGCGTGAATGCTTGCAAACAACAGTCTAAAACATTAAGTCCCATCAGTTGCATCACGATGTAAAATAAATGTTTTATTTGATTTCGAGCTTCGTGATAAAGTGCAAACTTGGCGCCAAAAAAATTAATTGTTCAAGAATTGCATCTTTACATAATAAACGTAATAACGTTTACATTTATTGCGTGATACTCGATATTTATACCGCATAATTTTACCTTGCTTATTATATTATTACTGATACACTATACTTTAACGCCTTTATAACACGTTGCTGTCTTTAATGGCGTATGCACGAAAAGTACTGTTCATCTGGCATCACTGCCACTGACCAATTGCAATAGACATAAATGGGAACAGCCAATGAGATTGCAGTTGAGTTTAACCGGAAGTGCGTTTGCGCTTAAGAAAGAGAACCAACTTGAACTTGTAAACTGGTAACATCGGGAGATCTTAAAATTTGTGATATTTTCGCAAAATATTTCAATCCTCGCAAACAAGGTGAAAATACATTATTCCTTTTATTGCATTTATGTCTAACGAGGTTAATAATATAACATATCATACAAGAATTCGATTAAAACACTTGAAAGACTTAAAATATTACCGCGAATTTTATAGTCACGAAATTGTTTACGTAATACTGATGCAGATTATGCAACTATATAAACTATACTTAATGGTAACGTAGTTGACGTTTGCTTTCAAAATGCTATTATACTGAAATATTTCAACATAGTAAAGGTATCTATTAACGTATACGTACACTTTGGTTATTTTTATTTTTGAACGTTAATACTGTACAGATTAACCAGCTCGAAGAGACAGGGCATACACATGAGGTGTAACTATTATTTCGTATAACTTAATAAAGCTTAAAGATTTCAAATAAAACGAAACGATATATTTGTACATCGTCGCGAGAACTACGTTCGACCGGGAGCTTGTCTGTAATTCTCAGGAGGTTGTACGCTATTTTTTAATCACATTTTATGTCCTCGATGCAGCAGAATTATGGAATGACATCTAGCAACATACATTTAATGATGTATCATTTTTTTTTTGCCACCACCCTAAATTTTAACATATAAACGTCATCCTAATATATCTAGGCCTTGATATATCACAATGACGGCAACTTGTTCAATACATTTATACTACTATCGTGATGCAACTACAATAATCCTTAAACTTTCCAATACGGTGGTAAAAGCTCAGCATAGTTACGATTACATTTATTGTCGTATAGCAGCTGCGGAAAAAATTCTAATAATTCAAATACCACCATCTACGATTAAAAGGTATATGCTTCCTCTGATAAAAGTACAACATAACAATAATAGATACGTTTTAAGATATGGTAAAGGAAAGTACTTAATGTACATTTATAGCGTGAGATGTAATATTTATAATTAGTTGATGCATTCCTTGCAACTTAAACTTCAACGCGGTAATTCTTGTGCAACTCTGGTTTAATGTTGTACACCAACTCCAAAATTTCAAGCATGACCTATATGACATAAATCAAGAATATGAAAAACATTAGGAACTGAAAACTGTTTTTTGTATGTATACTGTCAACTTACAGTGTTTTTCTCCAGAGACACAGCCTGATTCATTTCTTCTATTTTAACTTTTGTGTCAGCCTCTATACGTGCAGCAACGTCTTCCTTTGAGCCCATGTGCTAAATGACAAAAAAAAATATTAAATTTAGAAAATAACTTCTATGCATAAACACCATTTACCTTGGCTTCAAATTCACGAAATTGCCTTTCACGTTCTTGCCTATACTTTTCAATTTCATCTTGAGCTTCCTCCTTTGCCTGTTTTAATCGGCGTGCCTTACCTAAGAAGAAAAGTGCTTTACAGTTGCGACTTTATTTCAACAATTTTGATAATACTACCAATGATTAAGTGTTTCTGTCGGTTATATTATACGTTATATTAATAAAGATTAATTCTATTTTATCACGTGAATGGTCGGTCGAACACTATGTCATGTTCGTGTTTCTACAGGTTCATTTAAAACGATTAACCGGACAACAGATACGATAATACTTTAAACGAAAAGCATAATCTTACTACACACAAATTCAAATATCACTTTTCATTGCATTTGAAAGGTTACACCCATTTAAACTCAGGGTCACAGAAGAGTTCACCACAACGTGTTGTACACGACATTTATACGCGTTAAAATATTAATTATAATGGCTGAATGGAAACTCACGCTTTCGAGCATCCGAAACTTTCTCCGCGGCTCTTTTTTCGGCAGCCAGAAGCTGTTGAATACCTTGCGTCTGGCTGGCCATCTTTGCAACGAACGAAGAGAACTGTAATTCTGAAGGGAAGAATCACAAATCGATCATATGACTTTAGAGTTTCCGTTGTTTGCCCCGCCTTAAACGGTGGCGCTTTACACGCTTTACCTTGTGTTCTCACGTGGGCACTGGTTCAAACAATTAAAAATATGCCAACACACTCGACTAGCAACAATAAAAAAAGTAAAAACAGTAAATCACGGATTAATTAATACCAAAAACATATAAACTATTCACGTTATATCGCTTTATTCAATTTTATTACACGTCTCGTTCAAATTATTGCGCGCTCGATTTTGATATATCGATTTCTGAATTAATGAAATTTAGGAGCAAGGAAAATATTTTTCGACAATTAGCTCATTCTGTAACACTAGTTAATATGTGAATGTAGAAGTAACAAATTGTTAGTAGAGATTGATATTGATAAGGAAGTACAATCATTTAAAAAGTTATATTAAATACGTTTAATATGCACGTAAATAATACATTCAATGTACATACAGTGACAAGTATTGTGAATTATTTAATGTACAAAAGAGAAGTATAAAGTAACTTATATATTAAAGTATTCGATTTCCTTGTACATTTTGTCTATTGTTTAACAGAATCTTTTCTTGGCGTTTCTTTTCCTCCTTAAATGCTTCGGTATTTGCTTTTCGTTCTACTCTCCTTTCCTGGAATTAACAATTAAAAATTCAATTAATAATTTATACCGTAGATATTCAAAAATCTTACTTTTCTATATTTCTTAAGTGCATTTTTCCTGTCCTTTCTTTCTTCAGAGGTTTCTCCTTTGGGTCTTATACTTAATGTGCTTAAAGTTGATTTCATTGTTTCTGCGATCGATCGAGGCCCCCTTTGATTACTATTTTCATTTTGTTGATCAAACTGAGCTAAACTTTTAGATGTTAGTTTTCCGGAAGATCCATCCAAAATATTTTTCGGAATACCGGTTCTCGGATTAACTTTGATCTTGTCTAGATGCTATGAAGAATTTTGTAACCATGATTATATACTAAAGACATAGGAGATCAATTATTTTTAAGTAATATACCTTAGGCTCAGAAATTAATTTCGGATGATTATAAATATTGCTGTATGTACTAACAATACTTTCACAATCCCATTTATCCTTCTGTCTTGCATCAACAACAAGTTCATCTAAATTATCATCTTCAGAACTAGAATATTCTTTCCCTATGATCTTTAATCTATCTTTCATAAGTTCTGCAACACTTTCAGTCTGTGGAAACAAATGATAATTAATATTTCTACTTTGAAAACAAATTTTTAATACTTACATCTTTGCTTTGTTTTTCAAATTCTGCTGCACACTGAAGGACTAAATCTGAATCTGGTGCTATGTATCCTTCAATTTCATCACAATCTAATGCACCAATTTCATTTTCATCATATGTTGCATACATCTACCAACATAATAATGTATAATACAATATGTCTGTTAAAGAAACAAATTAGTCTCATAGTGATAAATATTTACTGTCTCAAATTTGTCATCAAGAAGAGTCAACTGTTCATTTCTTTTCATAACACTACTACTCATGGAATATTCTGTAAAGCGTGATTTTGTTTCTTCATCGTTGAAAGTGTACTGAGGACCATTTAAACTATGTACTTCATCTTGTTCTTCACCAGATAATTCCATATGTCCCTCTGATGAAACATCAGATGCTTCATCTAATTAATACAAATCACTTTCCATAAAATATAAATTAATTATTATATAAAGAATGTATTTTTACATACCATATACTTCATTTTCTACAGATTCATCATCACTATTATCAGCTAACTCTATAAAATTATCTTCTAGTTCATTCTCTGGATCATCATAGTCAAAATCATCATCCAATGCTGCGACCACATCTGGGTCCAAATGTAATTGCAGTCCAGAAACAGGAGCTGCCTTGTTAAGAAGCCCAATCTTTTCTTCAACATTTGAAGCAAAAACAGAAGATGGTAAATTAATTTTTGGAGTATCTTTTTCATTATTTGTTTTTGATGCATTTGCAGAATCTATGCGTTCCCATTCAGTTGTTAAAGAATTTACATCCTTAAGATGTTGCAAGTAGTCATAATCATCATCAAAATATATGCCATATTTTTGTTCCTCCTCTTTGCGTTTAGATTTATCTATATTTTTTTTCTCTAATTTGGGAGCTTGTGGATTTCCAGCGGGTACAAGTACGCGCTGAGGTGCTGTTTCATCAGCAATCAATGGATCTCTTTGTGAACGATGTACTAAATGAAATGTTACTGAGTTCTTCTTGTCGATGAATTTCTTTACTTTTCCTTTTGGCTGAAAATTTTCCGATATTATCTTAATACATTAATCTTAAAGACTGTGTTCGTAATAATGCCCGATAGGCTTGAGGTTATATCTCAATGTATACGTATTTGCCATACTTGAAACTTACCATTTTTAGAGTGTTCTTCCTTAAACATGCAGAATTGAAAAGCAAATTAACACAAAAATAGGTAATTTTAATGTGTTCATAAATTCAATTTTACATTCTCCAATGTTATGAAATGTACCTCATGCAAAATACAAAAGCATATGTTCTATCAGTAGTTCTCAACTTGAGTGATAAGTAAAATTTGTATACAGAAACTGGACTTATACGGTATCGATATTAAAATTAAATACATTGTATAAATGTTATACAACAAATTCAAATTTAATAGACACGCAATTTTTGTTAATGGTAGCTACAATTAAAGGTAAACATTAGAAAGAAGGGATGATTTCGTCCTCGAATTGACGTTTGTCCTTCTCCTTCTTTCAGACAGTTAATGTTAATATCGTTGACTATTGATGTTCGATAAACACGCAATACTGCCTCGAGAAAACATAAAACATGGGGCTATTTGACCGGTTAGCAAATCTTTTAGGTCTTAGGAAAAAAGAAGTAAACGTTTTAGTAGTGGGCCTTAATAATAGTGGTAAGTCGACGGTCATAAATAATTTCAAACGCGAGGATGACCGTTGCATAGACATAGTACCCACTGTCGGGTATAATCTTGAAAAATTTTCATGTAAGTTAAATACTGTCGAGTGAACGACGTTGTTAGATGCTCAATTGACGTGCTTAAAAAAATATTATTACTTGCACTTGCATTGTTACACTGTTGGTTCAAGCACTAATTGTTATTGTACAATGAAATGAAATAGACACACCATATTAAAAACAAATTTATTTTTACAAAAGAGACATGTATACATATATAAATCACTCGCAAAACAAAAGGTATATTACATTGTATATTTGTTAAGTTTTCTTTAATTTTTTCTTTTTTTTAACATTCGATTTTGATTGTATCAGAGACTTAGCATTTATTTTCTGCATGCTTTGTAACATTTTTTCAAATGCAGAAGTTTGAGGTTGATCGTTATTTATGAGTTCATTCACCTTAGCAGAATCAACATTTGTTTTATTTTTTATATTTCCAGAATTATTTTCATTGTTTGTGATATCACTAATATTATTAATGGAAATGGATTTGGAATGAATTTTATGTATTGGAGTACTAGTTACCAGATTATTTAAGTTTTTGTTTATCATTTTCTTCTTAGGTGATATTTCTTTAGTAGGTGTACCAAGGCTAGTACATGTATCTGATTCAGTGTATAATTGAAATTTTGATTTTACACTTTCTGATTTTTGTTGCTTTATTTTATCCGTATACGATCTATTATTTGTATCGGTAACTTCATCCTGTTTACTTTGAGAAGCAATAGATCGCATTACATTTCTTTGGCTTTCTGTCTTTTGTTTTCTCTTTCTCTTTCTCTTTCTCTTTACTTGTTGTGATTGTCGTATTGAAAACATCTCAGAACGGTTTAAAAACGATTCCAACAATCCCTTTTCGTCCGAGCTGTTTAAATTCTAAACATAAAAGTAACATTTCAATATAACATAAAATGATCTTTAATTTGAACGAATTAAGATTTTCAACATACACTAACTTCTAATGAACTATCCTCATTATCATTGTTTTCCCATACAAAAGGTCCTTCTTTTAATATTTCCTTAAATGCTGTACACAAATCATTCATCTTCAAACATTCTAATGAAATTTTTAGTTGTTTTACTGTTCTTTTATCTAATTTATCATTTGTTTGTGATTCCACTGTAATTTTATCTGGTCTGACATTGTTATTATAGTTAAGATATACAAGTATATTCATATATGAATTAGTTTCTTTATTGTATACATTCATCAGTTCTAAATATATTTGATTGTATCCTGCACTTTTATGTAAATTACAATTTTCTACACGAGACAGAGCGTTCTGAAAATTTAAAATACATTTAATATTCGATTTCATTGTTTTAAATAAAACAAAAATTAATAAGAAATACATACCATCAATGCATGACACTGTTCATGTCGTAGAAAATAACAGTTAACATAGTGTTTACATATTCTTATAAATTGAGGTATATATTTTGTCTCATTAATAGGAAATTTAGATATTAAAGTATGTAGATCAATTGATTCAGGCATTATCCACTTTCCTAAACGTCTTTCACCATTGGCATTTAAAATTTGTACAACATAGGTACTTTTTTTTTCATATTTATTCGATGCTGACAAATTAAATACACATTCCTTTTCTGAAAACTCAACACAGTATACACCAGCATATCTAAACAACTCTAACTCTAATTCTATGTTAATATCTGGAACTTCAGATATATCTGTATCAGTGGAAACATCAGAATTATTTTGTTCATAGGAAACTTCAATATCCTTAAATAGAAATATATCAAAACTGCACTCAGTTTGCAAAATTATAGATTTCAACTCATCTATTTCTTTTTTTAATTTCTTCTTCATCTCGTCTACAGATTCTGAAATTGAATAATGCATAGAATTAAGTTATTTTCGTAAGAAAACGTATAGGGTTAGATTTTTACATCCAACATTTGCCTCACCTTCATTTCTGCCTGAATTTTGTAAATTATCAACAACATTTTCTATGCTTTTGTGCTTTTTCATGTTTAAACTTAATGGCTTTTCCCTCGAAAATAGATTAACACTATTTTCAAACGAAACCGCACCAAGATGTAAACTACCTTTTTCGTGTTCAGTGATTCTCATTCGGATCTTTACAGAAAAATATTGAAGAACATATGGTGTTTTATCGAAGTGAATATTAATATGTTACACATTAAATGTATTTATATATATATATCAACAGTTGTTTACTCTATGTATTATCCGTCCAACTTAAAGGTAGAGTGAATGTAAATAATCTGCCTGCATGATCTTCATTTGATTAGAATCCTATTGGTCCATTTTACGACACATTTTGCTCACACAACGGTCAAAATACTTACAGAATTAAAACATTGTTGCAAATAATAGAAATTAAATGATGGATAATTCTATTATCCACGCTATGTTACAAAGTTGGTCGGATTATAATTTATCTCGTCGTTCTACTCTATAGTTTATACTTATTACATTGTTGTGATAATGTATATTTATATGTGATTTCGTGCACGAAAGGGATCATCTGGATATAAACGTTTAATCGCATAGAGATACAATGTTTTTTTTTTCAGTTAAAAATGTCAATTTTACGGCGTTCGATATGTCAGGCCATGATCGTCACAGAGCTTTATGGGAGCATTACTATAAGGACTGTCATGGTATTATCTTCATAATCGATAGCAGTGATAAGTTACGGCTGGTTGTTGTTAAAGAAGAGTTAGATATGCTTCTTCAACATCCGGACGTAGCAGGTACAATACATTCCTGTTGTGTTTCGTCGTGTGGCACGAAAATATTCGTAAAAATGAATATTTTTGTACTAAACGTTGTAGGCCGCAAAATACCGATACTTTTTCTGGCAAATAAAATGGATTTACCCGATTCTTTGACTACTGTTAAACTTGTTGCTGGTCTTGGTCTTGAACGAATACAGAACAAACCTTGGAATATACGAGCAACAAATGCAATAACTGGAGAAGGATTACAACCTGGGATAGAATGGCTCACGGATCAAATTCGTGATATATATATTAATAAGAGATAAAGATAACTCCAATTTATTGTACAAATTATTAATCACGAAATTTAACTAACTAGAAGCAATCAATAACATTCCCTCTTACAAATCCAGCATTTAAATATTTTCTATCTACATTATGTATTTGTCGATATTTAACTTTCTAATTGTAAAATATCGATATCAATTACGAATTTTATACGCAAAGTTTGAATAATTTATTAATGTAATCACAAATAAATCCATCCAATAAATGTAATAGTCGTCTATACTCGGTAATAAGTATTACGTAACGTATCATGTAAATGTTGATTACAAATATTATTTTGCCTAAAACACTCATGTATCAATTAATCGAGTAGACAAGATTTCGATAATTCAATTGGTTATAGTTCCCAAGATCATGGTTCTTCGAATAAAGTACCTCCATAAAATGCATCGTCTATGGTTTAAGGACGGTGAGTATGGGAACTAGATTCAACTCAACCACCGAAGTTGGTAAGGTTAGCAATCCAAGAATCTTATTCTCTGCAATTTGTTAGTTTAGATTGAAAATTATTTACACACATTGTACTTATTCAAAATCTAATTCTCGAGATATCTGGAAAGACGATTATAGCTCGATTAATAGTTTCCATTAGAATATTTAAATGTGAGGTTGGATCTTCCCTTATTCTCCCACCTACTTTCCCGCGTAATTGCTTACAACGAGGGGTCGTCATTCGTTCTGTAGAAGTTTTCGTGATAAGATGCATTGAAGATTTCACGACTAATTTGGTATGTACTCATTAGCTGTTGGCATCTAATTGCTATTATTACTCTTGTTCATTCTCTATCGATGCTTTTATCTGCTGTTAGTGAACTTTTGGTTATAAATTCAATCGTCATCGTGAGAAAAGTTAAATCGATTTCGCGCGTTTTCTCCAATCTCTACTCGATGTCAATTGTCATACCTGTCTGAATGTAATTAATTTTTTACAATATATTTCGAGTTCAATCGGGGCTTAATTATAATACTAGTGTGTTTGGTTTAATGAATTTGCTTTAAGTTCGTATTTTGTTTCTGTTACGGTCTCTAAATACAATTCGGGTACAAGAAATGTGCTATTGGCGCCAAATCGACGCCATGTTGTTTGATCATCAATTCGAAGGTACGTTGTACAAAGTCTCAATACAATTTAATTTATTATAACAATAAGTGATATACACATTTATGTGATATATACATTTATATGAAAATTGATCACAATTGCATATTTTCTGGTATTATTTATTTCATTGATTTTCTGCAAATGCGTTCTTATAAACATTTATGTCAAGACAATATTTCTATGTCTTAAAAATTAATCGCAATATCTTCTATTCTTTTACAAACTTCCAACAGAATTTCCAACGTGACCTTGTTAATGATTTCTACAGCATCTTCCACTTGACAATAGCATCGTCATCGATTTATTATGACGCCACGAAGTACTTGATCACGTTCTACGGTCGGTGAGTTGCATGATTTTTTTATTCCTGTGGTCTTCAACCATAAATTCTCATAACATTATATTCCGTTACTTTTCGATCTAACGAAAACTTAGTTAGCGAAAAATTAATATTTCAATAAAATGATATTTACAAGCACGATGCACATCCTAAGTATTGTTAATAATTAAATCATTAGTTAGACTATATAGATACATTTTAAATGCATTACGACGTAACACGATTGCATAAAAATTTTATCTCTCACATAAAATTTTAGTTCCTTCGAAAGAGTACCGCTTTTTTACTAGAAAAATAAATAAATTCGAGGACGATTGAAATCGAATATTGATAGAAGTATTATTCGTTTCTTTTTTAATCAATGTATTTAACAAAATTACAACTTTATTTCGTGTAGAATGTACAATCAATGAGTCAATTCATATTATTTTTTCGTGCATCTTCCTCTTCATGGTGCGCTTCAGGTTGTAAGGCTCCTAATACACTAGATGGAGCTACTACGGCCGTAGTGTACATACGTGGGAGTAAATAATATCGATCCGAAACATTTGTCAGACTAATGTGAAATTCCGCGAAGTGCTTGTAAAACTCTGTGGAGATTTAATGAAAAAAATGAGGGGAAAATGTACAATCGTTTCTTACATTTTACTCGCGATCCTATGCGAGTTTACAGAGTGTTACAGTGTAAAAAAATATTCGTTACTTATGCCAAATGTTAGACCAAACAGGGTAAGTACAATATAAAATTTATAAAATGATTTACATATGTTTGAAGTGTACACGACACTCTTCAAACAGTGTTTTGGTAAATGCTGTATTATTACTATTATTGTATGTTTACACTGTGTAAATTTATAACATTGTAAACATATTTAATTTAAGGAAGAAATGTACTTATGTACACCTGTCAAAGTGGACCCCTCTCAAAATTACTATATAGTAGGTTTTGAACCAAATGCAACAATGGCAACTGCTCATCATATACTTTTATATGGTTGTGGAAAGCCAGGCAGTTCAAAGGATGTTTGGGATTGCAGCAATATGGAACATCATACAAACAAAAATGACAAAGCAATGGTTCCTTGTGCAGAAGATGCCCAGGTATAAGAAACAGTAGACAATAGAGAGTATAATATAATATACTGAAAATATCAGTTGTCATTAATTATTTGATCAATGATTCTTCTAGATATTGTATGCTTGGGCAAGAGATGCACCAACATTGATTTTACCAACTGGTGTAGGCTTTAAGGTTGGTGGGGATTCTTCGATCAAGTACTTAGTTTTACAGGTCCATTATGCACATATCGATCAGTTTAAAGATGGCAGAACTGATGATTCTGGTGTATTTCTTCATTACACATTAAGACCTTTAAATAAGCTAGCTGGTATTCTTCTTCTGGGAACCTCAGGTGCCATACCTCCTAGGAGTACAACATATATGGAAACAGCTTGCACGATAAGAGAAAATAAAACTATCTATCCTATTGCATATCGAACCCATACACATTCACTTGGAAAAGTTGTCTCTGGATATTTGATAAAACCAGATTTCACGTGGATAGAATTAGGCAAAAGAGACCCTCTAACACCTCAAATGTTTTATCCTATACATAATAAGGTTTCGGTTAGACAAAACGATCAAATAGCGGCTCGTTGTACTATGCAAAGTACACGCGATAGTTGGACCTATATAGGTGTGACTAAGGCAGACGAAATGTGCAATTTTTATTTAATGTATTATGTTGAAAACGATGAACCATTATCTATGAAATATTGTTTTACTTTCGGACCTCCTAAATATTATTGGAAGGATGCTGGACTTTTTAACATTCCGGATATAGAGGCATCCAGTTTATAGTGAAATAGTAGTCTCAATTATCTGGTATAAAAATTGGTACATCTGCAAGATTTATGACAATGGAACAGACTAATGCATTTTATCTAGTTAGTGTAGTAAAATGGTACTTGTTTCTTAGTGATGTTAGCATTTTAAGTTTATTAGACAATTATGATACTCTTTAAAGTAATTTTACTTTATCAGTTATAATCCGTTCCTTTCATCTGTGTGTACTTAACTGCATTTAAATTATTTATGTTTCGAATACTTAATTAGTTATAAATTTTTAAAAATTTTATCCATATTAATAAGCGAGTATTATATTGTACATAATATTGTCTAATATCGAAAACAGAAAGGGTAATGTAAAGATGTTGGCCTACGAAACGCAAGGTTTAATATTTTTACTACTTTTCTTACGCACAATTGACGATTTTTTTAACACCTTCGGTCAATGTTACTTTCATTAATTGCTGTAGCCGTTAAAATGTATTTTACACATACTTTAGTATTGTTTCGTTTAATTCAGAATTTTAGAAAGTGGGGCAAATAGTTGTAAATTAAGTACTTAAGTCCATACACGTTTCCATAGTACTTATTTTGTAAATTTGATATACTTCCGTACATCCAGCGACGTTGTTGCGATGCAATGCAGACTTAAGAATAGTGTTTATCAACAATGACGTAATGTTACAATGAAAGGATTTTGTGTACAGGTTGAGACACTTAGAAAAGGCCACTTGAATAATTCATTCGCTTCTAGTGATGGATAAAAATGCTTCGAACAAATCTTGTTTGATTTTGACGTGAAGGACGTGTGAAGGTCAAGTACTATATTTCCTATCGTGATTGATCTTTATTGATCTTGAACCGTAGGTTATTGATCTACGTCACCATATATCTTGAATAAAATAAAAATCAATGTATACACGGATATACATTTACGCTAGGCATTTGTTCGTCTAATTTTTGTATTTAATTCACATATCTGCGTACGATCGTGCTATTGTTTGATACGATGCTATGGTATCAACACCTGCTCTGACTTTCACACGTCTAAAAAACCATTTCTTATCGCCAATATAATTTCTAGCATTAACTTTCTCTTCTACCAAGGGGAATTTTATACTATTATCGTGATTCATTTTTCTTTTATGGATTTCGTAATTTGAGTTAAGATAAGCACTTATCTGTTCACTGAACATTGCTCGGGCAAGCGTTTTCCTTGTTTGAAAATGTTATGAATTTATTTCTCTCGCAAACGATTTGAATTTATTCACTTTTAATTGTAATTTCTAATTTAATTGTCCTTATTTTATTTATCATCAAAAGTACCACGAATCGTTCGAGTGGCTCGTTTAAAATCTCAACTCGTATACGTACTGACGCGAATCATTTTAACCAATAATATATTTTTAAACTGGGTGGTGAACTGGAACTGTACATAATAGAATTTGTTTAGAACTAATTGACTGAAAGTAAAACATTTCCACGGTGTCCTACGATCGAACTATACATCTAAATATGATTAACCCTTTGATTACGAAGGGCACACGTATACGCCTATACTTTATATCCCATTTATTGCATTTACTTTTCTACTAAATTACTTCGATCGTGTTTATGGAGAAAAGCCCAATAAAAAATCCTTTTTCTTTGCGTCTAGTTTCGTACACTGTGATTGCTTTTAGTTCCAAGCACGCCGGAGTCAAAGGGTTAATATAAATTATTTTCGAAAATATACAGAAGATGCGCAGATTTGTTTCTATAAACTTAATAGTATTATAAGGATATATCAATAAACGATGCATATATTGAAGAATGTGTATATTTTTCCAATCCTATCGTTTTCTGATTTGGAATAAATCCCATAAAGATCGAGATTGTTGCGAATTAACTGACCTTCGATCACCGTTACGAGATCGTATTTGTTGAATATATGATTACATTGATCAAAACCGGTGAAAGGAGGTTCAGGCAAAGCGAGTCTTTGGACAGATCTGCTCGATCAGGATCGATTGTCCCCAGGGGAATTCGCGAACGAATTAATTAATTGTCGTCAAATCGTTACCAGAGCCCGACACGAACGAACAATAATTATTCCCACGGAATTACACAGCAATGTAATACGACGATTCCGGGCGGGAAAGGAACAGGAAAAATGTCACGTTTAGTCGTATACCAGCGATTCGGTAAGTACGTAAAAATGTTTTGCAAGGTTTATCGCCTCGTAAAATGAGTCCTCGTCAAAAGTGTGTCGACCAGCGCCGTACGTACGTTTTTGGAAAACAAATGAACGGAGAAAGTGCAGCCAGTATGTAGAAGAATCTATGTAACGAAGGTGCGGTCGAGCACATTAAAACCTATCGATGCTTCTTCGAAAGAACCAGCTTACGTTTCTTTCTACGTTTCGTGGTCGAACTTGTCGTTTATTTCGCGCGATGATCATCGACACGCGCAAAAATTTCACGGTAATAAGCTTAAAGGGACCACGAAAGGGCCTCGATATTTTCTTCATTGTTTTCTTTCAATCGTTTCATTTTTTTTTAATGTATTCAAGGAATTGTTTCTCGTTTTACAATTTTCAACGCTTTTCACTAGTAAGTTAAACAAATTTTCAAGATCAGATAAATCCAGATAGGACTCTTGAATTTTAAAACAGAGTTTTTGAGGACAATGCGAGGGGTTTGGTCTGGCAATCAACAGCGTGAAACGAACGATTTCAGACTACCATTTATCATAGCAGAAACCTTGCGATCCCAATGCATTAACCTGTTCAATTCAGATTCGATTGCCTATTTTCTCCTGGCCGCTGCGCGAGTCTTTGATCTTGATCCCTCTTCGCGAACGATCACGAACGAACAATCGAGGCGCGATTAAGAGGGAAATCGTCTTTGGTACTTCCGGTATTTTTTTCTGCTCCCCTCCGCTGCAAGTCGCGCGTATCTTTGAGAATGCTCGTTAAGAGAATATTTTAGATTTCCTATAGGTTAATTGGCGCCGATTCTCGAGTTACCACCTGCAAAATTGGAAACCGGTTTCTCTCATTACGTCGTCCCTGTACGCGTCTTCTCTTTGAGAACGATTCGGTGTCAATGTTCACGGGACTCCGCTATTATCTCGCTATGGAAACCAAATTATTCCTTTTGTAGAGGCGCAAACGCAACCCAGATGACCGTTCCTTTTCTCCTCGATACCTTGTCGCTCGATCTTCCGTCTAATTTTTCTTCTTTGACCAGTAAAGTTTTTTACTTCCACGTATTTGAAGTACAGTATATTGCTTATGGTTCGTGCACAGTGTCTTTAATCTATCGACTCCGTGGAACGAACCAGGTTCTGTTATACAAACAAATAACACGTAGAGAAAGAATAGAAATTTTATTTTTATTCCTTGTTCGAACAAAAGTTTGCCCAAATCCGACGAAACTATGATCTTTTGAAGTATTTTTTCGTACGAAAACCGTACGGACGTAATAGACCCAATTTCTTGGCGCGCCGTTACGCGGGAAAGTTCGTCAATTTCTTGGTTGGACAAGTACGGAGAAGAAAGTAGAAAAAATAAGTTAACGTTGGCGATACGCGGCAAGATTATTCGAGAGTTTTTGCGAAACGCTAGCTCGTTGATCATAGAATAACGGTACTGGCCGAAATTAAACGACTATAATAATAATACATCATAAATAACGAGGAAAATCGGTATTAACTGCAGCGTAAAATCTTCGTTTCATGCATTGTCTCGTTATAAGTCGTTTTCCGTCATTCGTTACAAGTCCTCTCTCTATCCCTCCCACCTTCCAAATTCAAACTGTTAATATCGGAGTACCGTATAAAATAACATTTACATTTAATTGTACGAATCGTAAACACCGACGGGGGATTTAGATCGGAACAAATTTCGTCTATTCAAAGCGAACTTCTTTTCCAAAGTGTGATGCCCGACTCTCGAGTAACTTATAACGAGATAAAAATCAATCTCAATACGCGGGAGATTTGCAAGAGAGTTTCATTAAAATCGAGGAAGGGTACGGTTACAAAGGATCCCCCGTTTCTCTCGTTAACGGGGAATGGATATTCCTGATTTCAGTAATATTTAATCCTTCCCCGGAAGTTCGCAATCGCGGTCTATTGTGCGGCCATCCTCGGCATACGTCGCGTTAGCGTGGCGTACGTGTTCGACGTTCGATAATGCGTCAATGAAAACGGCACGTCACGCGCACAGAGAAGTATCATCGTCGGTAAAAGCATGTCTCGTCGTTAGGAAAGCGACTGGAGCACATGCAGCCCGATTGACTGAAACGCTCTGCAGGCAACTTCGAAAGTAAGGCCTCGATCACGTTTTGTCCGATGTCAGCTTGCCGCGCGGGGCACCGTAGTAGTCGCGGCCCCCGGAGCTTCCTCTCCTCCTTTTTTCTCTTTCTTGCTCATCGAGCCCCGCTTTTACCGCAACCATTATTCCCTCGATCTTACGCAACTCAAAAGCCCCATCGATCGACGATCAATCTGGGAAATTAAAAAATTTCAAATCGTTCCAAAAAAACTATTTTTGGTTGCAGTAGTCAAGTACAATCATTTTTGGTCAGTACACATATCCTCGAAATCCTAACCATTCTCGAGAAAAAAATTCCTAAATATTGAAATCTTTCCCAGGGGGGGGCCGAACACCCTGTATGTTGATGCAGGTGATCGTAAATGTTTTATATGTCTGACACGTATGTATATAAATAAGAAAGCGTACTGTATCCACGTCCTCAAAGTTTCAGAACGTTTTGAATATCCAAGATGGCGATCGTCCCCCCGTAGGTTGCACATTGTAGCGGCTGGTTAGATCTCGATGCAGTTCGCGACACGGTCGATCCCATCGCTATCCCCCAAAGACTCGCGGATACGTCTCGCGAACTTTCCCGGAAAATTGATGGGTTTCCGTTACGTTTTCCGTGGTTCTCGTTCGGATTTTCGGCGAGGAGGAAGAAAATAAAACGCGCGGGAATAAATTTGGGATACGCCCGGGAAGAAATATCGATCGGCGGCGAGAAGAGATCGAGGGATCGCGCGGCACCGCGGCCCCCGGAAATGTGCATGTTTTGCCCCGTCGTTCGTGAGACGGAGATGGAATAAAATGCAAACGTTATCGAGAGCCGAGCGTTTAACCGCGTGTTTATTCTCGCGAGGATTCTTCGAAGATGTGCCACATTGACAAATACGCGCATCCGAGGCGACGCAATGTAGCCTCGTTTGCCGTTAATGGACAAGATATGTTTTCGGATCTAAACTCGGCTCGCGCTACGTTCTCGCGAAATATCGATACCATCCGATCCTCGCGTTCCAACGCGATCCTCGACATCGACGAAGAAATTCATCGCGATCCGATCATTTTCTTAACTTTTATTTTCATAACTCATGGTTCACTCTTTTATCTATTTCCTAGAATATCCGTAGTCTAATGATATAGCAACTCCTATAAACAATATTCGTTACTTAGAAAAATCCCACTTCTTCTTCAACCCTTTTGCACATAAATTAACATTCGACAAAACTACTACATTTAACAAATCTTGATATAGCAACTGGTATAAACAATATTGGTTGCTTAGAAAAGTGGTAATTTGGTTCGTTTTGTCCGCGTTTCGTAGGTTTTTGCGCGATGCGCCAAGGGATGCACCTACGGGGTGGATGCAGCGGATCCACGGCGGTCCTCGCTTGGCGGAGAGCGGCAAATCGTAGCCGGGAGGGTGATGGAAAGGAGAAAGAGACACGTGGGACAAGAGAGAAGTCGCGATTGGTTAAGCCGGTTGGAAAAGCCCGCCTGGCTGCTCGACCGGCCGGCACTTCGCTCAGTTCTCCACTGTGCTCCGAGCGAACCGGAGCTTTCGCCAACCAGCTTCCCACACCGCGAATCCTTCGATTGCACCATCACGCCTCGATCGATCGATCGGATCTATACGTCGCGCCACAGAAGCCGCGGCGCTCTCGGTGCCCCCGCGAGATCGCGACGAGGAAAGTTTCACGGGAATTCACCCTCGCTGCCCTTCTCGGCCCCAGTCGCCGGCGGTTCGAGGGCAAGACGAATCCGCGGAGACAATAGAAGAGGAAACTATGCTCGTGGACGGAAACGCGTCGCTGCTCACGGTTTAGGACGCGTCGATAAAGCTAACGTCGCTCGAGGGACAGGATCCGTTGACCAGGAAAGGGATTCCTCGCGATCACGGTGAGTTTTCAATTTTTCCGCATTTTATTTTTACGACGCAAGAGAGCCCCGAAGCTCCGAGTTTCCGATTAATATCGTCGGCCGGCCCGATCAGGCGGTGACCCAGTTGTTGATCTTGATTTTCTCGAAATTATCGGGGAATAAAGTTTCGCGATATCTATAGTGAGATTGTCCCATCTGCGCCTTGGCTTCCAATTAATACGGAGGAGTTTCGAAGCATCGAGATTCGACCGTCCAATTTTCTAAAAGTTACCACAGTACAGACCAGACGAATCAGTAAAGTTTCGAAAACAGAAGGCGATCGATGATCGCTAGAAATCGAACATTTTTACACCCGGCGATAGTCTCTGCGCGATAAATTGGCGGCAAAATAGAGAGAATAGTTTTTTTCTCGATCGTCTACTGGCTCCGGTGACCCTGTATCGTCGAGCGTTCGCGATGCTTCGGGTGAAAGTCGTAAAACAAAAGGAAGGACTTTCGTTTGTATTTGATGCGTCGAAAGCATTAATCGCACGAGCGATTCGCGCGCAAAAAATTTTATATAGAGCAGCCGACGAACCGACGGGGAAGAAAATGTCGAGAAAAATGAACTCCGGCGAGCCGTGTTTCGTGCTGTTTTTTTTTTTTTTTTATTCGAGACTCGAAGGACAGCCATCGTGCAAAAGACACGCGTACGAACGTTTTAACGGATTTACTCCGCTCGGTCGACGATCCCCCGCTGCTTCGCGAATTTTAAATGTTTTGGTCAACCGTGCAACGTTCGAATAGACGAAATTCCGGAAATAACAGTAGAATGTTTTGGCGCGGGCGTGCGTTTAAATGTATCGAAGTATCAATATTATTTTGACACCCGATGTACTATAGAAACTGGGACAAGCTGTATTGCTTTTACACGCAAAGTTGCAACAAATCGACCGAAAGGCATTGAGTCCCGCGTCGCGGACTGTTCCCCGACGGTCCAGGTACTCTTTTTTTTTTTACGCATCGGTGCATATTGCACTCGCTAATGGAACCGTAATTAAGTCTAATTTCGAACGAATCAGTTCGAAACAAGACGTAATGGGTTTTACTAATAAGAAAGTCCGAATAAATGAATTACAGATTGTGAACTGGAAAAAGGCTCGAAAACCAAACGTACTCGCAGCTTTTTGTTTCAATCAGTGCCACGAAAGTGGCAATTAAGACCGGTTGCGCGTGTACAACTGCTACGTAACTTGAAAATGAAATGAAAAATGTAAAACGCCGTGTAATTAAATGTTTGAACGTTAACGATAAGTGAAATGTTCGAATAAAGCAACTTCCTAACGCAAAAACGAGCATATCTCGATGATTTTGCGCGCGGAACGATCGGTAATTAATGGTTCCGTTAAAGAAAAATCGACTTTACATCGATTCGTTGTATCTTCGTTTAGAAAAGTGTCTCGACGCGTTCCAGTTTCTAGCCTTGTATTTTGCACGATCGAAAATGAGTTCACGCTAATGTGTCCCATTAAACAGGAACTCCGTGTGCCACGGAGGATCATTCGGGAACTCGAGCTAAAGGTTACTTACGATACGTCAGCCGGATCGTGTGTGGTTTATGCCAGTGTGTCACCGTGCAACGATTGGTAAACGATTTAACGCGCGTTTCGTCGTTAATCTCGATGTTCCACTCGCGTTTGCACGGATAGTTACGACTGGCTTACGTTCCGCGCACGACCCCGTGATCCCTGCTCTTTTTTTACCAACTTAAAACCGACACGTCGTTCGTTTCGGATCCGTTCTACGCGCGCCACGAACGATTTACTCTCGTTCGCGGATTTATGGCAGCCGTTCGACACCAGGAACAAAGGTAATAGAGTGGAAAAGCGAGAAAGAAGCGCAGTTAATTGGAGTTGGTGGAGAGTTTCGAAAATCGTGCGACTCGACTTTGTTCGGATACAAGAATATTCGGTAACGAATTGTACGAAAATAAGTATTGGAAATCGTAGGTTAATCTTTAAAGCGACTATTATTACATGCTCCACTTTTCATCAGGAGCAGATTGACTCGTTTTAAGATTTTTTAGAACGTATATACTCGGTTCTCTAAATAGTGTTTCCAAAATCGTGCCTCGAGTGAAAGTAGCGAATTTGTGAATGAGAATAATATAAAATACGGTTAAGGCGTTTAAATCAAATTCGTCTAAAAAGTACAGGATATCAATGTTCTCGATTTAAATTAACAGAATTTGTTTATTCTTTGAAACTGAAAAGACATTTATTTCTTAAAAATTCCATCGAAGCTAGAATTTTTATTTTCAAGATCTGTTGTTTGTCGTGTCCCGGAACTTCGAACGCGAGGACTTTTATTATAAAAGTTCCGGTTTCCACGTAGCTCGGGGAAAGTCTCATAACAGTTTCGAACTCTGTTGTAAATACATTGTTTTTTTGCAAAAACGTAGTCGGCGGTTGGGAACACGTGTGATCGAAAGGGTTAAGCTCGTTTCGCCACGGAGTTCTCGAAAGATGGCGGACGCTTGGTTGGAAATTTTAGCAACACGTCGCGTTAGGAATGCAGAATGGAGTGGCCTGTCGCGGAATTCTAGTTATCGGGCATTCAGATCGAAAGGCCTTGCGCGGCGTTTCACGATTTGCGGTTCCGTTCCCTCGTGCATCTTTAATCGGCTCGGTTTTGCGGCCCTATTGATTTCTCGCGTTAACGCGATCTCGAATTCAGAACGCGAAATCGCCCCCTTGATTGGCATTAATCGCACCGACGCGTGCACTCGTTGCTGGCTCTGGTTGCCAGAGGAAATTCGCATAAGCAAACGTAGCACTGTTTCCACCGATTCGTTGTTGCCACGCGAAAATGCTTTCCAGTGCAATTTGGCACGAGCACAATGAGTCGTTCGCTTCACCACCGATAGAAAATCGCGAAAAATGCTTCCTTGCTACTGCTTTGACCAAGTTTCTTCTTTGAAATCATTTGTCTTAAATATCGGGAATTTTCATAATTCCTTTCCTTGGGTAATTAACTTTGGTATTTATTTGAGAGGGTAGATTCTGTTCCAGAGGAATCGATAACGAGGAAATAAAATTGAGATTAAAAGGAGGTTGTAGCTCAAACAGGATTACAAGGATGAAACGTTGTTTATCCTTAAGTTTGAAGACGAATTAGAGTTACATCTTTATCTTTAAAGGGTAAACTCGACGAATGTTTAGCCCGCGGGCCAGTCTTTGTGCGCCACTCTGCCATCCTCCAGAAAGCAATTGCATTCCTTTGCAACAGCATATTAGCTCCTCGAATGCAAAACACTGGCCACGTTTGATGTCATAATTTTTGTTCTTGTCTAAATAAATGTTTTCATTAGAATCAAATGACAAACGAAGCTTGCCACGAAAAGATTGGCGCCCCGTACGCGTATCTGCGCGCGTCGGAGGATTTATCGGCGGTGTTTGTTAACAATTTTCACGCCGGGAAAGCATGGTCGCCGATTGAAACGCGTCGCGGCTTTTCACAATACGGAAAAGTTTCCTTTATGACGAACGCCGGCTCGCGACAGGAACCGCGACATCGCTTGGCAAGCTTTTACTGAAATCAGCTCTTTCATGCGAATCAGCCTAAACGACGTTCGCCGGGATAACATATATGGAAACTATTCGAACTGGGTCGCCACCTTTTTTCCCCCGTCCTATTCCGCAATACCCTTCTTGTATCCAATCCAGCCGACTCTTCGCGCGCACGAAATTGCATCTGTTTCATCGGCATTCAGGAAGAGTGCCAAACTTTCGTCTCCCTTTGGTCGCCTGCGGGAAACCGTTCTCCGTCTTCCTCTTCGGGGAATTCATACCCGATTTTCTCGGTGTATCATCCCGATCAACTCGTAGATCAATCTCCCCGACCGTTTAAAACATTTCTTGCGATCCAGGACCTCGTTGCACCGATCTTCGAAACCCCACGAGTCTTTGCATGTCGGTAGACTACGGATCTTTAAGCAAATTCATGTTTTTATTAATAGAATTAACGAAATAGGACCTTCGTAGAGGGCTGTCTCAACCCCTAAATGTAATAATTCGCATCTTATTTTAAGTATTTCTTATATTTTTGTACATCAACTGCATTCTGTAGCTTTTTGAAAGAATAAGTGCTCATAAATGTAGCATAGTTAGTTCACAGAATGAATTTGTGGCGGTATGTCGTAAGAAAAAGCGAGTACCTGTGAATGAGCGGGAAGCTTCGTCAAAAATCTAAAATCACAAAATTTTAAATAATAATGCTTCCCCGGAGAATGATAATTTATTTCCACAGTTATTTAAAGTCGATTTGAACTCGAGTTCCTCGAAATTTATATTGACCAATAATCAACGAGGAAACATCTTTCATTTGCCTCGCATTCGATAACATTCGTTAGACTCCTACGACGTTTCCAAAGTATTTTATTGTACGTATCGAGGATTGTAACATATCGTGGTCTTCCGGTCTGCGCGTCGAAGAGCGTCAAAATATATTTCGCCGCGAAATCGCACCACCGAATTGCGGTCGAGATAACTTTGTACCCTTTCGGCACTGCCGGTACGTAATACGTGCACGCACAGACACAGACTGTTCCCGGTTTAATGTACGGTGTCCCATAAGGTTCATATATCTCCCTTTACAACCAGGAAACGAGCATGGTCCCTTTGCACCGAACAGCATTCATAAATCCAAAGGGAAGTTCAGCGGCGAGGAAGGATACTCATGTCCCGTTGTCGCGCTCTTCTTTCTTTTTTCGTTGCCTTCCAAACGATCGGAACTCGCGTTCTGTTTGAATCACTGTTTTTCAAAGCGAATGGGGGATCGTTCAAGAAAATTTTCAACACACAACAACCTAGACAAATTAAATTTACCTGCTGGAGTACCAAGGGGCTATCAAACTATTAGTACAACTAGGCTAGAACTCTATTTTACTCACATCTTAAAACAGCAAAATATATTAACTAGAATATCATGTATAAAACAAAATTTAGTCCATGGAAAATCTATTAATATTTACTAGAATT